TAAGCTCATGCACTCTAGGGCCTGTGAGCCACAACTAATAAACCCCTGTGTGACAATTACTGAAGGCTGTGTGCCTAGAGTCTGTGCTATACAAGAGAAGCCATTGCAATGAGAAGTCTGTGCACTGCAAAAAAGAGTAGCCCCTGTTCATTGCAACTGGAGAAAGCCCACGCACAATGAAGATCCAGTCCAACCAAAAAATTAATAAATAATTTTTAAAAAGGATAATACTAGAAACTTTGCTCACATCAATGTATGACAAAAACCACTGCAATGTTGTAAAGTAATTAGCCTCCAACTAATAAAAATAAATGGAAAAATAAATAAATAAATAAATGGATTAAAGACCTCCATGTAAGACTGGAGACCATAAAATTCCTAGTAAAGAACATAAGCAGAACACTCTTTGACATAAATTGTAGCAATGTCTTTTATGGATCTGACTCCTAAGCAAGAGCTTCCCAGGTGGCTCAATGGTAAAGAATCCACCTGCCAGTGCAGGAGACACACATTCAATCCCTGGGTTGGGAAGATCCCCTGGAGAAGGAAATGGCAACCCACTCTAATATTCTTGCCTGGGAAATCTCATGGACAGAGGAACCTGGTGGACTACAGTCCATGGGTTCACAGAAGAGTTGGACATGACTTAGTAACTAAATAACAGTAACAACTCCTAAGGCAAAAGAAACAAAAGCAAAAATAAACAAATAGGACCTAATTAAACTTGAGCTTTTGCACAGCAAAGGAAACCATCAACAAAATGAAAAGACAACCTACTGAATCACTGTGTTGTATACCTAAAACTAACAATGTAAATCAACTGTACTTTAATAAGAAAAAAGTCTGTCTTGGAGTAGACAGCCTATCTTAACATAGATACAAGGTGAGTGATATTTAATATGAAACTAATGTAAGTTTCATTACTGTCTTATAACTTTGCTTTCAAAGAATTACATTAACATGCTGTTAAGTTGCTTCAGCTGTGTCTGACTCTGTGCGATCCCAAAGACAGCAGCCCACCAGGCTCCCCCATCCCTGGGATTCTCCAGGCAAGAACACTGGAGTGGGTTGCCATTTCCTTCTCCAATACATTACCATACTGAATGCTTTTCTCTCTCATAATTTGAGAAATTGCGTANCTCTGTGCGATCCCAAAGACAGCAGCCCACCAGGCTCCCCCATCCCTGGGATTCTCCAGGCAAGAACACTGGAGTGGGTTGCCATTTCCTTCTCCAATACATTACCATACTGAATGCTTTTCTCTCTCATAATTTGAGAAATTGCGTATCATCCTATTACCACAGGTAAGTGGGAGAACAATCTTTAAGTATGCTAAAAATAAATGAATTATATACTTTATAAGGTTAAGTTTATGGTACATGAATTATATCTCAATAAAAAGTAAAGGAGAAGTAAAGACTTCCAGATACAAATAAAAACTGAGGGAGTTCACTCCCAGTAGACCTGCCCTATAATAAATGGTGAAACAAGTTCTTCAGGAAGGAGATAAAGAACATAGGTCAGAAACTTGGATCTATTTAAGACAGGAAGAGTGAGGTTTCCCTGGTGGCCCACTGGTAAAGAAGCCTCCTGCCAATGCAGGAGACAAGGGTTCAATCCCTAGTCTGGGGAGATTCCACATGCCACAGAGTAAGCCCCTGTGCGGCAACTGTCGAGCCTGTGCTCTAGACCCTGGGAGCACAACTACTAAAGCCGGGCGCCCTAGAGCCCGTGCTCCACAGCAAGAGAAGTCACCACAACCAGAAGCCAACACACCGCAACTAGAGAGTATTCCCTGTTCTCCGCCACTGGGGAAAGCTGAGCACATCAACAAAGACCCAATGCGACCAAAAGTAAATAAATAAAAAAAATTTTTAAAAAAAAGGAAGAGTGGAAGAGGTGGAATAAATAAAGGTAAAATAAAATATTTTTTATTTTTAATTTCTCTAAAGGATAACTGCTAAAACTATAAGCGTAAAAATGAATTGGGTGATTATAGCATAGGATCAGTGAAATAAATGACAGCAATGTCACAGGGACAGTACGGCAGAATTAGAATAGTCTGCTATACAGTAACCACATGACATATTATTTGAAGGTGGACTTAGATTATTTTATATGTAAAATCATTATACTAGTTCACAAAGCAAGCTTCACTAAATTTCAAAGAATAGGTATCATACAGGCTAGGATCTCTGACCACAGAGCAATTGAGAAATTAATTAGAAAATTAATTACAATTCCTGCATGTTTGGAAATTTTAAAACACATTGTTAAATACTCACAGGTTCAAAAATCATAATGTTTAAAAAAGATATTAACAATAATGTCAAACTATATATCAAAACTAATGGAACATACCAAAATCAGTGTTTTGAAGGAAATGGTTAGCTTTAAATATTAAACAAAATTGAGTACCTGAAAATTAATGAGCTACATTTCTATTGTAAGTTAGGAAAATAACCACAAAACAGACCCAAAGAAAGTATAAAGAAAGATAAAATAAATATGAGTGGGAACTAATGAAACTGAAAAAATACACACAACAGAGAAAACCAACAAAATCAAAAGTTCAATGTTTGGGAAAAAATACCAAGAAAATAAATAACCCTTCAGTAAAGTTGATTAAGGAAAAAGAAATAAAGGACAAACAAATAACTTGATGAATGAAAAGGATAGGCATGATTATAGATAAACACTAAAAAGATTTTAAAGTAATACTATCAACAACCATATGCAAAAATACTGAAAGGTTAGGTGAAATAGAATCTGTAAAGAAAACATAATTTACCAATACAATGCACAAAGTTCTATAAGTTGTAAGAAAACTGAAGGAGTGTTTAAGAATTTTTCCCATGAAGAAAACATCTGTCTCAGATAATTTTATACAAATAGGTACCAAACTGAAGAAACAGATCATCTTAAACTTATTTAAATTCTTTCCAAAGGAGGAAAGAAGGAATACTCTCTAGTCCATTTCAGAAGACCTGTATAACTCTAAGACCAGCGTCACATATAGTCATATAGTTTTTCTTTCTGAGTAAGAAAAATAAAGCCATTTCCGTCATGAATACACAATGAAAATTCTGAACAAAATATATCAAATTCAACAATGTAATAAAAATAATACACTCTGACCATGTTATGTTCATACTAAGTGAAAGTTACCCAGTCATGTCCGACTCTTTGCAACCCCATGGACTATACAGTCCAGGCAATTTTCCAGGCCAGAATACTGGAGTGGGTAGCCTTTCCCTTCTCCAAGGGATCTTTCCAACCCAGGGATCAAACCCAGGTCTCCCACATTGTAGGTGGATTCTTTACCAGCTAAGCCACCAGGGAAGCCCAAATATGGCTAAGTATGTGAAGTACTAAGGGAAGTACTTCAAGGAAGTACTAAGTATGAGAGGACAAATTAACATTTATAAAAAGCTATAAATGTTCCTTATTAGAATAGTAATTTTTTAAAAGAAAAACTATATAATTATCTCAATAGATGCAGATAAAACATTTGATAAAACTCAAAACATAAACACATTATTAAAAGCTTCAGTAGGTTAGGAATAGAAGGGAACTTCCATACTCTAATAAGAATATCTACAAAACCATCTTACAGAAAGTGAAGAAATGATGAACATAGAATTCAGAATCAGTAAAGAGACTGCAGGATGAAGAAGGAAAGAACCATATAGATATACTATTTAAAAGGTCCCAATTCTTGTATTGTTAACGACCTAATTTTTACCTTCAGTGTGAGTTCCCTGGAAAGTGGAAGTGTTAGTTGCTTAGTAGTGTCCGTCGCAAAGGGTCACTATCTATAGCATCTAAGGGTCACGGACTATAGCCCACCAGGCTCCTCTATCCATGGAATTCCCCAGGGAAGAATACTAGAGCACGTTGTCATTTCCTTCTCCAGGGGATCTTTCCAGTCAAAGGACTGAACCCGTCTCCTGCACTGCAGGTAAATTCTTCACTGTCTGAGCCACCAGGGAAGCCCTGGATCCTTACGCTATTACTAACCGAACAAACAAACATGCTTGGACCAGTGATGAGGGTATGTCATGAATCAGTGAGTCTCAAAGTGTGGCCCCTGCAGCATCAGCACCCCCTGGAAACTTGCAAAAAATGCCAATACTCCAGGCCTCTCTCCCCTACTGAATCAGAAACTTTGGGGGTGGGGCCCAGCAGCACGTGTTTTAACAAGCCCTCCAGGTGATTCTGATGCAGCATAAAGACTAAGCACTACAATCATAAGCTACAGATTCAAAAGTATACAAGTCTGAACACCTATAGTCCAATTAAGAAAAAAGAAAGGCCAGCTAATGGATGAAGCTGCACAGTTGGCTCATGGGATGACGATCAAACTTTCTCATTTAGCTGAGTTTAAACTAGATGAGAGGGATGCTGAATATGACTCCCTTTCTTCATGATGCTAGCAAATTTAAAGGAAGAAAATAAGGCCTATTACACTATTAAAACCAACAGTAATCCTGCATGCTAGATATACGTCAATGCTGTGTCATATTTTATTGGGTAGATCCCAAGTCAGAACCATTTTTAAAAAGTACCGTGACTTCTGCAAACGGGGAGAATACCCTCCAAGACGTTTTCCTACTGTTTGAAATGAGGGGTAACTCTGATTCAGCACAACACAGGCAATCACCTCTCTCCTCTAGAGAGAAGAAAAAAATGTAGGCTTGTGTGTTGAGAACTACTGGACACTGCTGCCCAAGACAAAGCGCAGTTTTGGAGTATAGTATATCTCTGCAAAAGCCCCACTAGAAGCATCTTGTCATCCGGATGGGAACTCAGCTCAGTGCTTTGTGATGATCAAGAAGGGTGGGAGGGAGGCTCAAGAGGAAGGGGATATATGTATACTTATAGCTGATTCATGTTGTACAACAGAAACCAACACAACATTGTAAAGCAATTATCCTCCAATAAATAAAAATTTTAAAAATTTGCTAAGAAAGTTAAAAAAAAAAAAAGAAGAAGCATACCTTATGAACCTCTGCCAACTCATGGTCCATCCTTGCAGCCCTCTTTAGAAAACCATCTTTGGTAGTAGTGACTTTTGGTTTTGGTGGTTTGATTCGGGGTTGTGTCACAAAATCTGGGAGACATGACTCAAGTTCAACTAATCCTATGGAAAGGAAGTACATGATTAGTGTCTGGTGCTTAAATGTATCATTTGAAAACATACTGTTAATTTTATTAGCGGTTTGCCAAGTGGTTTTATTTAGAATTACTGATAAGGTGTACCTAGTATAATTGAATTGTCTCTGAAATACAAAGGAAATTTCTATAAATAACTTATATTCTTGGTAACTTAGATTGTAAAATAAGAAATGCATTCTAAAATGAAACCACTGTCCCACCAAAAAGTAATACCACCACAATAATAAACAGGAAGTTAATGATCATATGATACATGGCACCACCATTCTAAAGTGGCTGTACACCAGGTTATCATATTCAGCTCTGGAGAGGGTCAGCCAGAGGTGCAAGTTCAATGGTGTGACTGTCAATGCACGATCTTGCCATATGATTCTCCAACCTCTCAACTGAAATTTAAATAATTTAATTAAGGCTCTCTTAGACTTTACAACAGGTATAACCCTCTCCATTAATTTATCCCCTAGTTTATCCATCCCCTTGCCCACTAGAATTCTGGTGTTTCTTCATAAAGGGCCGATTTCATTACATATTTCTTGTTTGCATTATAAACCTGGTATAAACACTTTTTCTATTTTATTTTTGTATAACTGTGATTTTAGTGACATTAAATATGTTTAAATGTTTAGTAGTTTATTGACTTTACTGCTTGGTAAACCGTTGTATAGTGTATCCATTTATTTGGGTCTTGACAGTTTTTATTGGTTTCTATGAACTCATTATTAATAATACCAAACATGTAATGGCTATTTCTTACAAATATTTTATTTTTGATTAGCTTTTAATCTAAATTGCTATAATTTATATTTCTAAGATAACTCTCTTATACTAGGCTTGTAATTATGGGAACTGCTTACCTTCATAGGTGTTGAGATAGTGGTTTTTTACCACAAAGTCCTCTGAATTGTTGTCTGGGAAACGACCAAGGCGAGATAGAGGTCCATAGACCTGTGATGCATAATCACAATAATCCTTGATGATATTTCTTCTCTCCAACTTCCCTTCTATATTCTTCCCTTTTCCCATAAGTTTTCTGATTGCTAAAATAAAACATACCTCCATGACTATCTCTAAAATATTTTTCTGAATGATCCAAATGCAGGCTAGTAAACCAGCTGTAGTTTTATTCACAGGGAGACTACTGAGCTGAATAAATTTCATCATGATCACTCACTGCAGCCTGAATATAACACTTAAGACAAAGAACAGGTGGATATGACAGAAGCTGAATCAGCTAGTGTCCTCAACTGGTACTCATCAAAAGTCTTTTATAACTGCATTCCAGTTATAAAAGCTCTGGGCCAGAAATAAGTTTGTGCAATGAATGAAAGAAATTCAAATAACTGAAAAATATATGTCTTCAATAGAGACTAAGGGAATTATTTTCTCCTAAGAGAATAATTAAAAGGGAAGGAAGACTACAAGTTCTTCAAAAAATCTCTGGTCATCTTGGCTAACGCCAGAATAAACTAGAATATATCCAAGCTTATAGTTTAAGAATTATTTGGCAGGCTCAGCTGTACATATTAGTTTACTAATTTAAGGAGTCAGGATTACTACCTCTACCTGCTCCTTTTCTTTCAGTCCCATCACAGACCCACCCCCTTTTGAAGGCTCTACATCAGGTACTCTCAACGGGTGTAAAACCAGATTGTGAGATTTTGAAGCCATATTGTAAGAGGTGGCTGCATGAACCACTGCTGCCTTTTGAATGTTATTTATACGTGACCCTCAGGGCTTTTGTGTGTGACTTGGAATTTCATAATTAAAATAATTTATATTTTACTTTGTTGTTTTTGTTTAATTGCTAAGTTGTCTCCGACTCTTTTGCAACCTCATGAACTGTACCCACCAAGCTCCTCTGTCCATGGGATTTCCCAGGCAAGAATATTGAAGTGGGCTGCCATTTCCTTCTACAGCGGATCTTTTTCACCCAGGGATCAAACTGATGTCTCCAGCACTAGCAGGCAGATTCTTTACCATGGAGCCACCTGGGAAGCCTTAGTTATTTAAGAAAATTAGTCAACCCATCACTGGTTATTTCAAGGACTGAAAAGAAAAAATTGTTGACAATATCTAAATGCATACCTAAAAGCTAGTTAAGTGAAAAGTCATTTTCTTACACACTCAAAAAAATTCAGGGGCAAATAACACTGAGAGCAGATAACAAGGACCTGACTTTCTGGGAGCAGGGGTTCTTGAAGGTCTTCCTGGAGGAAGTGACATTTGAGTTGTTTCTTAGTCTGGGTTCCCCCAAAGACAGAATCTGAGATAAAGGCATGTGTGCAGGCAGTTTATTGTGAGGTGATCCCAGAGGGTGAAGAGAGAGGAATAGAAGGAGTAACGAGAAAAAAAAAAGTCAACCCATTGCTAATTATGTCAACTACTGAAAAGAAAAAGATGTTGGTAGTATCTAAATGCATATGTAGCAGCTAATTAAGTTAAAAGTTATTTTCTCACATCAAGAAAGTTAAAAGTTCACTAAAAATAATTTTTAAGAAATTAATTTTTGTAATTGTTTTACTAAGAAATTTTTGAATAATTTTTTACTGTGATTACATTGCTATTATTATGTGTATAGATTGCTAATCTGCATATATAAATGATGCAGTGCAACTTTTATAAGTAAATAAATTACATTAAAAATTACTCAGCAAGTACAGCTATAAAGCTAAATGCTAATAAAAACTTTTTAAATTCTAATTAAAAATTTTTATTAAGTCAGTTTTAATCCTCCACTGACTTCTCTTTTTTTTTTTTTACTTCTCTTTTTATGTATAAAGTACAGATATATTTATAGTATATAAACAGATATATAGTACACCTATGGTATTAAAATTTCATGGGAGGGACTTACTTCTCTACTGGTCCAGTGGTTAAGAATCTGCCTTGCAACGCAGGGGATATGGATTTGATCCCTGGTCGAGGAACTAAGATCTCACATGCCGGGCATGGGGCAACTAAGCCTACGTGCCACAACTACTGAAGCCCCTGCATGGAAAAGAAGACCCAGCACAGGGGTCTTTAAAAAATGTTTTTTTAATTTCATGGAAGGGGGATAAGTAGGAAAAAAGAGATCTGAATGTCTCTTTTAGTGGGAAACAATGAAAAACAGGTTGAGAAATAAAGCTCTCTATCCAGGGCTTCAGCCTATGAATATGGGCTGAATACCTACACACAACAAACCTACACACACACACACACACACACAGAGTCCATAGTGCCAACAACCTGCTACCCACTAGAATATCATTACTTGACTTTTTCTTAGTGATGAATTTTCTTCCACTCTCCTACTTTTGAGAAATAACTCATCTCCTGTCCCTTATCAGTTAAATAACACTAGGACCAAAAAGGAATTATATCACAGTTAAATCAGCTTTGGTCAAAAACCCAAAGCTGAGCCAGCTTTTCCATTCTCTTGCTGGTTGGTGCTCCACCATCACCTGATACATGCTTGCGTTGAATCTGTGCCAACTTTGCCTCCTTTGCTTCCTGTAGTTTAGACCACTGGGCATTCAAGCGTGCCATGTTCACGTCATTTTGATTCTTGTCACGCTTCTTCAGCAGTTCTTTTAGAACTTCCAGGCGAATCTCCTGCAATCTTCAAGCAAATTACAATCATAAAGAAGCCTATGGTCTCTCAGACAGGATGCTCTACTAAAGAAAGGGAACATTTGCCATAAAATAGGACCTTCTCTTCAGGCTGGTACCATATTCATGTATTTTAAAAAGACCACTCTGGCAAAAGTGTGGAAAATGAGTTGGGGGTTGGGGTAGGCACTCAATAGTCTTTATATAAGAAGAATATTATATGGGTATATCTCTAGGCAGAAGAGCCTAAATGAACAGAAAAATGTCTGTCCACAGTTTCAGGCTGACAGGTATTGCTGGAAGGTTAAGGAACAGGAGGATTGAGAGAAAATGTGGTTGTGACATGCCACCTTAAGTGGTGAATGTGAAAATGCCAGCATCTGACACATACGGATATTCATTCTTCACTTCCCTTTACTTCACCTTCTCATTGTTCTCCAGGACCACCTTGCTTATGTGTACATATGACCTCAAAATATCTACTTCAGCCCAGATATTTCTGAACCAGAACTTCCAACTACTTGAATCTCCAATTATCTCTTCAAAAAAAAACCTACAGAAACCTACTTCTCCTACCTTCTTCCCTCCTCTAAAACACTCCTTACATCTGTTCCCTAGCTCATGTCTTGGGCATCTCTCTCCTGACTCGGACTCTAGGTGTTAGTCTAGTCTTGCCTCCTTCCAATCTTTGTTCCATGTAGTGGTCAAGATTTTCCTTTCTAAAATAGAGATTTGAACAGTTTACTCTTACTTAAAATTTTACATAATAATTTATTCAATCACTTATTTGTCAAATACTTATGCCAGGCAGGGAATAAAACAATGGTGAACAAGATGCACTGTCTCAAGGAGACACTGTTTCAATGAAGTAGGCATATAAACCAACATTTACAACACAGGGATCAAAAAAAAACACCAGGGCAGAAAAATGAAAAGACTTCTGCGGAAGAAGAAATGGCAGAGCACCTCTTTCAATGCTATTCCCAGGAGCAGGGTGGTGGGAAAGGCTTCTTTACAGTAGCCGTTAACTCAGCACTTGAGGATTGAAAGGGTTGAGATGTGCCACACTCACAAGGGAGAAGTGGGGCCTCAGCAGAGACAGCACATTGTCAGGGGCTTGGTGGCACTGCTCTGAGCAATGAAGCACCTCAGCCCAGGAACAAAGGGCACCTCCAGAACTTCCCTTCCCCCTCTTCTTGCTAGGGAGCTGCAATTTTTTGGTCCTCATCATTTCTACAATACATCAGTTAAAACGGCTAAAAATTCAACCAGAAATACCCTAGCATATTGTTACTTATGTACTGTGAGGTCATCTCTTAACTGAAACATTCCACAGTTTGTCTTTTAAATATAAACGCCTTATTACCTGCAGCTAGAACCCAAGGGGTCCTGACTGAATCCAGTACCAGGGGGAAGAGACAGGGTGAGCCAGGAGGCTGTTTGATGGATGGGAAGAGGGTCAAAGTCGAGGGACCCTGGCACTGGTAAGGAACAGAAAGGGACAGTCTGAAAGACATTTTGCAAAAATCAGTGGAATTCTGTGACAGTCTAGATAAGTTACTAAAGAGAAAAGAGAAGATCAGAGATGCTGTGAGGAATTGTTCAAATCTGAGTTCCACATTGAACTTCACACATAAAGAAGGCATTATACACACACACACACACACACACACATATATATATATATCTTATTGGAGAAAAAATAATGGAGCCACTGCTCCTGAAACCCAGTCTCCTAACTCTACAGGTTAAGGATTGCTTTTAAACCCTTACATTTGGGAACTCTATTTGCTCTATTGCTTAAAAGTATTAACATTAATCCCATTAGTGTAGGAGCAACTGTCTGGGTAACTGAGAACCTACTTCTCAATCTCCTGCTCTCTGAAGGCCCACTCCTTCCTCTCCATGGCATTCATCATCCGCCTCCTTTTCTCAAACTGGGAGGTGTCACTCAGAGGGGGCAGGGTGTCTTCCCAAGCACGCTTCTCCCGGGCACGTTCTATCATCTCTACTTCAGCTTGTCCTGCCGGGAGACCTCGACCTAGAGGATGAGGCAGAACACTTAAGAAACACACAGACACACTCACGTACCTACTAGTATTTAATTGACTCCCTCTCACTTCCTGTCCTCTTTAAATTCAAGGTTGTGACAAGATGAAATGATATTGGGATATGTCTCCACATGTGCCTAAGAGTGTATTATCTGTGCCCTGCACTCTCTCTTGTTAGCAATTCAGTCAGAAGACTTTTTTTTGCATGGAAGTATTTAAAGATATTAGGTGATTACTAAATAATCACACCTTGGAATGTTCCATATTGGAAAAATCCATCTTTTGAAATACAAAGAAATATCAAAATAACTTGCAGAAGATCATAGTTAGTAAGTGGTGAAACCCAGAATTTGCCCATGACAATCTGGCCCTTGCGGTCTTACATACTACACTATACTCCCTCTCTAGAAACAAATATGAAACAAAAATGATACAGAGAAGCCCACAGCTAATACCATACCAACAGTGAAAGGTTAAAAGCTTTTTCTCTAAGATCAGGAACAAGGTAAGAGTGCACACTCTCACCACTCCTGTTCAACATAGTACTGGAAGCCCTAACCAGAGAAATTGGCAAAAAAATTTAAAAAAAAAAAAGAGAGAGAAAGAAATAAAGAAAAATACATCCAAGTCAGAAAGTGAAAGTGTTAGTCGCTCAGTCATGTCTGACTTTTTGCAACCGCATGGGCTGTCCATGGAATTCTCCAGGCAGGAATACTAGAGTGGGTTGCCATTCCCTTCTCCAGGGGATCTTCCCAACTTAGGGATAGACCCAGTGTCTCCTATACTGCAGGCAGATTCTTTACCATCTGTGCTACCAGGGAAGGAAGAAGTAAAATTATATGTAGATTTCATATAATCTATGAGCTGAGATTCTTAATCTAAGAGCTGAGATTCTTAGTTCTGGTCATTCAAATTTTTTAAATGAGTGTATTGCCTACAAGTAAAAATAGTTTTGCTTCTTCTTTCTAATCCACATACCTAATTTTTCTTCTCTTATTTTACTGCATTAACTCAATTATTTCTCAGCCAGGATGCTATTAACACCATATTGGGCAAACAATTAATTTTTGGATGGGCCTGCCCCATGCAGGGCAGGATGTTTAGTATCCATGCCAGCCTAGCTCCCCCAAACCCAACCCATTTGCCTTATCATTATTATGGAATTTCCAAATGTCCCTGGGGTTGATGGTCACAGCCTAGTTGAAAAAGTTCTGGGCTAGGATCTTCCCTGAACTGCTAAATAATAGTGGTGATAAAGGAATCACTGTCTTTTTCTTGATTTTAAGGATAAAGCTTCTCAAGTCTTACGTTTAGTATTATGTTTATCTCAGATAACCTTTATTAAATTACTAAAATTTCCTTCTGATCCCAACATTTAGAGTTTACAACATGAATACATGTCTAATGTTATCAGACTACTTTTCCTGAATCTACTGGAGCATTTTCTGATATTTTCTGTTAAAATGGTAAAATGCATTGGTTGGTTTTCTGATATTGTACTAAACTCGAATTTGTGTGATTAACCCATTTGGTTATGGTAAGTCATCTACTAACTTATTTTTAAAATTTATTTATTTGGCTGTGCCAGTTCTTAGTTGCAGTAGGCAGGATCTAGTTCTCTGTTGTTGTTCAGTCACTAAGTCTGTCCGACTCTGTGGCCCCTTGGACTGCAGCGTGCCAGGCTTACCTGTCCTTCACTATCTCCCAGGGTTTGCTCAAATTCATGTGCATTGAGTTGGTATTGCCATCCAATCATCTCATCCTCTGTCACCCCCTTCTCCTCCTGCCCTCAGGATCCTCCTTTCTCAGCATTCAGGGTTTTTTCCAGCGAGTGCTAGTTCTCTGATCAGGGATCAAACCCAGGCCCCCTGCATTGGGAACGTGGAGTTTTAGCCACTGGACCATCAGGGATGTGTCAGTCATCTTTTTCAGATACTGTCACATGTCACTTTTCTATATACTAATAATGAACTATCAGAAAGAGAAAGCAAAAAAAAAAAAAAATCCCACTTAAAATCCCATCACTTGATCATGGTGTAAGATCTCTTTAATGTGTTGTTGGATTCTATTTTCTAACCATCCCACACTGTTGGTGAGAATTGGTGGAACCTTTATGGAAAACAGTATGGAGGTTCCTCAAAACACTAAAAATGGAGTTATCATATGATCCAGGAATCCTACTCCTGGGCATATATCAGGACAAAACTACAATTCAAAAAGATACATGCAACCCTCTGTTCATAGCAGCATTATTCATAATAGCCATAACATGGAAAGAACCTAAATGTCCATATACAGTGGAATACTACTCAGCCGTAAAAAGAACTAACGCCATTTGCAGAAATATGGATGAACCTAGAGATTATCATACTAAGTGAACTAAGTCAGGAGAAAGACAAATACCATATGAAATCACTTATATGTACAATCTAAAATGACACAAATAAATTTATCTACAAAACATAACAGACTCACAGAGAACAGGTTTGTGGTTGCCAAGGTTAGCAGATGCAAACAATAATATGCACAGTGGATAAATGACAAGATCCTTCTGCATAGCACAGGGAACTATATTCAATATCCTGTGATAAACCATGATGGAAAAGACATGAAAAGGAATGTGTTTATATATATAACTGAATCACTTCATTGTACAAAAAAATTAATACAACATTGTAAATCAACTATATTTCAATATAAAATTAAAGAAAAACAAGCAATAATAAAGAAAAAATAAAACAAAATCCCATCAAAAAGAGAAAAGTACCTACAAATAAACTTAACCAAAGAGGTGAGAGAACTATATTCTGAAAACTATAAAATATTAATGAAGGCATCTGAAAACCACATAAAGAAATGGAAAGATATCCTATGTTTTAGATTGGAAGAACTGATATTGTTAAAATGTCCACACTACCCAAAAAGTATACAAATTTAATTTGGTGGAGTAGAAGGATGTGTGCCCATCTTCTCCTGTGAGAACACCAAAATCACAACTAACTGCTGAACAACCATCAAAAAGAGAATGTTGGAACCACCAAGAAAAGCTACCCCACATCCAAGGACAAAGGAGAAGCAGCCAGATGGTAGGAGGGGTGCAATCACATTTAAAATCAAACCTCATACCTGCCAGAGACTCTTGGAGGGCATAAACAAAATCTTGTGTGCACCAAAACCCACGGAAAGGAGCAATGATCCCCACAAGAGACTGAGCCAGACCTGCCTTTGAGTGTGTGAGGGTCTTCTGCAGAGGCAGGGGTCAGCAGTGGCCTCCCACAGGGACAGAACACTGGCAGGAGCAGTGCTGGGAGGCACGGCAGGTGGAATAAGTCCCCTTGTAGGAGGCCACCATTAGCCCCACTACAGAGCTGCCGGACGGGCGATCCGCAAACCGGAGAACAATTATACCAAAGAAGTTCTCATGCTGATGCAAAAGTTCTAGGGCCCACAACAGGCTTCCAAACCCGGGATCTGGCAAAGGGACTGGGAGTCCCCAGGGAATCTGACTTGAATGTCAGTGGAATTTGATTATAAAACTTCCACAGGACTGGGGAAATAGACTCTTGGAAGGAAAAGACAAAACCATATGTGCTCCAGGACCCAGGAGAAAGGAGCAGTGACCCCACAAGAGACTGAGCCAGACTTCCCTATGAGTATTTGGGAGTCTCCAACATAGGCATGGGTCAACAGCGGCCTGCCACAGGGTCAGAGGTATTGACAGCAACAGTCCTGGGAGGCGCGATGCACTGGCACAAGTCCTTGTGGAGGAGGTCACCATCACCCCACATGGACCCTACAGCTCCACCACAGAGACCGCAAACTCTACCTCAGCCAAATAGACCCTACAGCTCCACCACAGAGACCGCAAACTCTACCTCAGCCAAATAGACCCTACAGCTCCACCACAGAGACCGCAAACTCTACCTCAGCCAAATAGACCCTACAGCTCCACCACAGAGACCGCAAACTCTACCTCAGCCAAATAGACCCTACAGCTCCACCACAGAGACCGCAAACTCTACCTCAGCCAAATAGACCCTACAGCTCCACCACAGAGACCGCAAACTCTACCTCAGCCAAATAGACCCTACAGCTCCACCACAGAGACCGCAAACTCTACCTCAGCCAAATAGACCCTACAGCTCCACCACAGAGACCGCAAACTCTACCTCAGCCAAATAGACCCTACAGCTCCACCACAGAGACCGCAAACTCTACCTCAGCCAAATAGACCCTACAGCTCCACCACAGAGACCGCAAACTCTACCTCAGCCAAATAGACCCTACAGCTCCACCACAGAGACCGCAAACTCTACCTCAGCCAAATAGACCCTACAGCTCCACCACAGAGACCGCAAACTCTACCTCAGCCAAATAGACCCTACAGCTCCACCACAGAGACCGCAAACTCTACCTCAGCCAAATAGACCCTACAGCTCCACCACAGAGACCGCAAACTCTACCTCAGCCAAATAGACCCTACAGCTCCACCACAGAGACCGCAAACTCTACCTCAGCCAAATAGACCCTACAGCTCCACCACAGAGACCGCAAACTCTACCTCAGCCAAATAGACCCTACAGCTCCACCACAGAGACCGCAAACTCTACCTCAGCCAAATAGACCCTACAGCTCCACCACAGAGACCGCAAACTCTACCTCAGCCAAATAGACCCTACAGCTCCACCACAGAGACCGCAAACTCTACCTCAGCCAAATAGACCCTACAGCTCCACCACAGAGACCGCAAACTCTACCTCAGCCAAATAGACCCTACAGCTCCACCACAGAGACCGCAAACTCTACCTCAGCCAAATAGACCCTACAGCTCCACCACAGAGACCGCAAACTCTACCTCAGCCAAATAGACCCTACAGCTCCACCACAGAGACCGCAAACTCTACCTCAGCCAAATAGACCCTACAGCTCCACCACAGAGACCGCAAACTCTACCTCAGCCAAATAGACCCTACAGCTCCACCACAGAGACCGCAAACTCTACCTCAGCCAAATAGACCCTACAGCTCCACCACAGAGACCGCAAACTCTACCTCAGCCAAATAGACCCTACAGCTCCACCACAGAGACCGCAAACTCTACCTCAGCCAAATAGACCCTACAGCTCCACCACAGAGACCGCAAACTCTACCTCAGCCAAATAGACCCTACAGCTCCACCACAGAGACCGCAAACTCTACCTCAGCCAAATAGACCCTACAGCTCCACCACAGAGACCGCAAACTCTACCTCAGCCAAATAGACCCTACAGCTCCACCACAGAGACCGCAAACTCTACCTCAGCCAAATAGACCCTACAGCTCCACCACAGAGACCGCAAACTCTACCTCAGCCAAATAGACCCTACAGCTCCACCACAGAGACCGCAAACTCTACCTCAGCCAAATAGACCCTACAGCTCCACCACAGAGACCGCAAACTCTACCTCAGCCAAATAGACCCTACAGCTCCACCACAGAGACCGCAAACTCTACCTCAGCCAAATAGACCCTACAGCTCCACCACAGAGACCGCAAACTCTACCTCAGCCAAATAGACCCTACAGCTCCACCACAGAGACCGCAAACTCTACCTCAGCCAAATAGACCCTACAGCTCCACCACAGAGACCGCAAACTCTACCTCAGCCAAATAGACCCTACAGCTCCACCACAGAGACCGCAAACTCTACCTCAGCCAAATAGACCCTACAGCTCCACCACAGAGACCGCAAACTCTACCTCAGCCAAATAGACCCTACAGCTCCACCACAGAGACCGCAAACTCTACCTCAGCCAAATAGACCCTACAGCTCCACCACAGAGACCGCAAACTCTACCTCAGCCAAATAGACCCTACAGCTCCACCACAGAGACCGCAAACTCTACCTCAGCCAAATAGACCCTACAGCTCCACCACAGAGACCGCAAACTCTACCTCAGCCAAATAGACCCTACAGCTCCACCACAGAGACCGCAAACTCTACCTCAGCCAAATAGACCCTACAGCTCCACCACAGAGACCGCAAACTCTACCTCAGCCAAATAGACCCTACAGCTCCACCACAGAGACCGCAAACTCTACCTCAGCCAAATAGACCCTACAGCTCCACCACAGAGACCGCAAACTCTACCTCAGCCAAATAGACCCTACAGCTCCACCACAGAGACCGCAAACTCTACCTCAGCCAAATAGACCCTACAGCTCCACCACAGAGACCGCAAACTCTACCTCAGCCAAATAGACCCTACAGCTCCACCACAGAGACCGCAAACTCTACCTCAGCCAAATAGACCCTACAGCTCCACCACAGAGACCGCAAACTCTACCTCANTCTTCCCTTATTCAGATTAATAGCTAACATTTATAGAATGCTTATTTACATACTAGGCATTGGCCTAAGCACATTATATAAATGAATTTAATTAGTGTTTACAATATCCTATGAGATAGACCTATGAAATGTTCTGTCCTATGAAAGTGTCATTATTTCACCTTCTCACCTGAGTAAGAGTTTGGCAGGTATAAGAATTCTAGATTTGGGTTATTTTCCCACAGCACTTTAAAGATACTACAGAATGCCCACCTGGAGGTACTCTGTCTCTTAGGGAGCCTGGAATTCCTTGCATAAACAGCGCCAAGCCCACTTCCAAAATCTACATGGGCCACTTCACAAGATTCAGACTCCTGAGGGAAGACCCCTTAAGCCCAAGGGGTAGCCACATAGCAGCTGTTTGCAAGGATGTCTAAACAGAAAGTGGAAAAGCAGGGCAGGAGAGGCAATCATAGGCATGCACAACAAGCCCCTCATGATGAACAGAGCCAGAGAAAGGGCCAGCCACCAGGCGCAGCCTCTCCCACTGCTGCCACATGCCAGTGTGCTATCCCAAGGAGTCTAAGAATTGTAAATGTACACTTGTCCTTTCAGCTTTTTATAAAGATTTATTTGTGAAAAATATAGAATGTATTTTATCTAACAGACAGTAGCTTGATTTATAACGTTTAAACGTCTACACACACAATATGTAGGCCTCCATTTAAACTTTTACCCAGGGCCTCACCAGTGAGGAGGTAGGCCTGACTCATGGAGTTTTTTACTGACAACTTCAACCCCAGAGCTGCCAAGCACAGGGCTCCAATTAGGTCTTTACCAAGTGAAGCATTTCTGAGCCCCTACCTAAACCTCTTGTTTTCAAGGGTGTGGCTCCAGTCCTTCTGCAGCTCAAAGCTAAGCCCTTCTCACAACAAGAGGTAAAGCTCAAGGCCGCAGGTAGGAGTACCTGGCTTAGACTGGCAGGCACTGGGCTTCAGTCCTACCTCTAGGCAGGAGAGAAGTTTCTCCCTCCTTTAGTTTAATCAGGTAACTCAGGTCTGGCTCCTCACCATTCAGAGTCCCTGCTCATCATCACAGATTCCCTTTTAGGAAGAAGTCTCCACTGCTAAATGATTGATTTTCTTCCTTGATTTTAAGTGTGGTTATTAATTTTCATAATTATGTTTTTCGTGTGTTCAAAGGTGAGGGAAAGATTTCAGCATACTCTGAATCTGTCATCTAGACTGAAGGTAGAGTCTCTGCTTTAAACTGTGGGTGTCAAGAATACTTAATCTAGATCCAAGAAGTGAGCCAAGAAACAAGAATCAAAACTAGAACTTAGATGTGAACATCCTTGTTGCTACTAACACATATTTGATCACAGCAATTCATTACATTGGGAAAACAAAAGTAACCTCATTTTAACAAAATGATTTTAATAAAAATCATTACAATATACTAAAGTATTTCCATGACTTTCAAGGAATCAGTCTCTCTGGTTCTCAGCTTCCTAGGCACAATCAAATGACTTTAATAAGGTAATTTCTAACCATTTCTGAAGGTCCCTTCTCTTATTAATTTTTATAGTTTCACATTATAAAGGCCTAGCCTAGAGTGAATTTCTATACTCTGAGAGTGACTTTCTGAGCATTTCAGATATAATGTCAAAAGAAATCATCCAAGTCATCAAATAAAGTGTATAAGAGAGTCTTGATAAATCCCAAGATATTTTAGCAAAGTAAGAGGATATTATTACTTGTTGGAAAGTGCAAAATACATATTATTGCTATATTTACAATATGCATGATGTGTATTATAAGAAAATATTACTACTTGTTGGAATATGTGTATGTCATGCATATTACATGTTAGAATATGCATTCAGTATTATATATTCAAAAAAAATTTATGTGTAAAAAAAGAATATAAATTTCTCAGTGAAAAGGAGCTGATTCACTGAGAGAAACAGTGAGAAGAGGGAGGTAAGTCATCAGCAAAGTAACCACAAAATTAAGTCTAAATGTAACTTCAGCTTCAGGGAAAAAGCACAAGAAGTGTCCTTACAATGATAAGGGCATATCTCTCTTTGAACAAATCTAACAGAAAGTGTACCAGTCTATGAAGTAGCTCTACTGAGCAAGATACTTTAAATAGCAATACTTTAAACCATAGTTGCCTGTGTGTGTGTCATTTCTAAGAACTCAATAGCATGCATGGTCATCAGGACTGTCATCTGCAAATATTCAAAAGAATTTCCAACTCACCCCAAGTGAGAGTAGCCAGGGTTAGGAGCTCAGGGATGGAATCCTGACATACTACATATTCTGGAGAATACGGGTCTGTTTGAACTTCAGCATCCCGATAATCAGTCTGAGTGCCCACCGTGTACTTCGAAGGAATGGGCAGGTACTTAGTAGGAGGAGGAGGAAAAGTATATGGATCTGCCCTAAAAAGGGAAAATTATTTTTAAAATTGAAACCTGATATAATCACTTTATATCTGTCAATAGGTTTTGCAACATATACGATTAATAAGAGTTAAACAGCCTATGTAAAATGCCCTTGTGAATCAATAAGACAGTTAAATAGCCACAGAAAAATGAGTAAAGGACAGTCAGAAAACAAAAAGTAAAACTTCTAACAATTATATGAAATGATAATGAACATAACTAATAATCAAAGAAAATTAAAACAGCAAGATGCTATTTAATTATATCACATAAGAAATGATTTAAAAGATTCAAAGTACTTAGCATCAATGAACTTGTGAAGAAACAGGCATACTCATAAACTGCTGATGAATATACAAACAGGTAAATCTAACTAACAAGTGACTAAATATATACCAAACCCTTAAAACACCCTTTTGCCCGAGCAATTGTGCTCCTAGGAATTTATTATGGGGAATAAGTCAATGAGTGTGCAAAGATATATGCAAACATGTTTATAAAGTCTCATTTATAAGAGTAAAAAACTTCTTAATGGCTGATTTTATTTTTAAAAGTAGTTATATCTGGGGTTATTAGGCATCAACCTTGGATCCATTATTTTCATCTTTTTTTTCATTCTATTTTTAAGCACAGAAAAACTTATAAATTCACTTAAACATGTGCCTACCCTTATCCACAATTTAACAAAAAGTATAGTAGCACATATAGTTTAATGTTTTAGTGCAGTGTTTTCTTTTGAGTTTGCATCCCTCAATCCCTTTCTCTTCCTTTTCCACCCACAGCAGTACCTTTTCTATATACCTGGTATCTACGATCTTCCCAACCCCGGGATTGAACCTGCGTCTCTTAAGTCTCCTGCAGTGGCAAGTGGATTCTTTACCACTAACGCCATTTGGGAAGCCTATCTAGGATATATATCCCAAATGTATCCTTGAATTACATCCTCCATATTTTTTGCACACTTATTTTCTACAACTGACACAAATAGTTTATTTTACTGTTTGACTAAGATGAAATCATATTATAAGTACAGTTTCGCATCTTGCTTTTTTGACTAAACAACACTTCATGGAACTCCTTCCCAATCTACTCATGTGACTCTAAATAAAAATCACAAACTTAAATAATGACCATCAGTAGAAAAACTGTTTAAAAAATGGTACATCCATAATTTTTATCCAGCTATTAAAAGTAACAATGTAATCTATATGAATGAACAAAAATGTCTATGATCTAACGTAAAGTAGAAAAAACATTATAAAGCGTTATGTACAATAGGAGTACATTTTTATGTTTTTATAGACTGTGCTACTGGGCACATAAAAATTCCTAAATGGATATACAATAATAAAAGCAATTATTTCTGGATAGTATAATTATAGAGAGAATTTTTTCATGTTTATAGTCTTCTGAATTTTCTTTTTTTAACCTGTACATATACTACTTATAAAACAAGAAATACATATATATGTATATATACCACTTCCATTTAAAATAAATCTTTTTTCTAGTTGGTAAATTGATTAAATTACATAAATAAATACAATGGAAAAAAGAGTTTTCCATTGAGAAAAATAGTCAAAGGCAATAGGAGGTGCTTATACATGAGCACAGCATGTACATCTTAGCTCAAAGAAAAATGCATTTCAAGCCAATCAGAAAGAAGCGTCTACTTGGCAGTTCAACCTGTGATGGAAGAGTACTTTAAGTAGTTTTTAATGTTGAAATCTAACAGGTACTGAAATCATTTTTTTCAGCAGTTGCTATTAATTCCTAACATAAGTAGACAATATGAGTATATATAGTTTCTTATGTTTTCAGCAGACAGTATTCTACTACAAAAATTCTACTTGAGGAGGAAATAACTTTAGATTACCTTTATATCATCCCAGGTCATGTGAATATTATTATGAAATCATCAGCTTGGATCAAGAGAATAAATTACTGCTTTCCAAATTAGTTTCACATTGGACCCATCTGATTAAACATGCTAAGATTATGGCAAAGCCTGAGGAATCCTTCTGCCAAAGCTTTCTGCTGACTTGGGACTGTGGGTCTGAGGAGAAGATGCAAAGGAGGAATGCTACTTGGACAAAAGTCCTGTGAAACTTAATAGCACAGTTCCTTCCCCAACTAGGTCTCCCCCTTGGCTCAGAGGGTAAAGCGTCTGCCTGCAATGTGGGGGACCTGAGTTCAATTCCTGGGTCAGGATTAACTTGTTATTTTTCTCCAACATATTCTTCTCTCCATTTCAGTTGGTTTCAGGGGAGAGTAAAATGTGAATAAGAGCAAGCAAAAAATCCTTCCCAGCTCTGCCCAACCTCAATGAGGACCCAACACCAGAAAGACCCTCCATCTGCTCCCTACTTGGCTTGTGCTCTGCCTGGTCCTCGATCGCATCCTTAGCCTCACTTAGTCTGAGGACGGTATCCCTTCAACAGCCGCTACTGCTCCATACCCTCATCCTCTAATACCAGTCACCACTGAAGCAGGCACTGTTTGCCACACCCACAGTCTGTTAAATTTTCCCCTTCTAGTCCCCACAAAACTAGACGCAGGGCTTCCTTGGTGGCCCAGTGGTAAAGAACCTGCCTGCCAATGCAGAAGACACAGGTTTGATCCCTGGTCCAGGAAGATCCCACAGGCCATGAAGCATCTCAGCCCTGCACCACAACTTCAAAGCCTCTTTTGAGAGCTCAGGGACTATAACTACTAAAGCCACACGCTGCAGCTGAAGCCCGTGTGCCCTGGAGCCCGTGCAACAAATCTTTCAGATTATTTTCCATTATAGTTTATTACAAGATATTGACTATAGTTCCCTGTTAAGGTTCACTCTTGGTGTCATACATTATATGGGTACAGACAAATCCTTACACGTCAATGTAGACATATATAATAATACACCACATAGTAACATACAGAGTATTTGCCCTCCCTTTAAATCCTCTGTGCTCCTATTCATCCTTTCCCCATTCTCCCCAGCCCCCTGGCAACCAATAATCTTTTTATCATCTCCATAGTTTTACCTTTTCCAGAATGTCATATAGTTGGAATCATACATATGCAGCCCTTTCAGATTAGCTTCTTTCTCTTAGCAATATGCATTTAAGGTTCCTCCATGTCTTTTCATGACTTGATAGCTCATTTCTATTTAGTGCTGAATAATATTTTGTTGTCTCAATGTACCATGGTTTACTTATCCATTCACCTGCTGAAGGACATTTTGGTTGCTTCCACGTTTCAGCAACTATGAATAAAGCTGCTATAAACATTTGTGTGCAGGCTTTTGTGTAGACATGAGTTTTCAACCCCTTCAGGTAAATACCAAGGAGTAGGACTGCCCAATCATATGTTAAGAGTATGTGTATAGTCTTTTTTTTTTTAAGAGTCTTAGAAAAATTTTATTTTGGTGTGTCAACTCATTAAAATTCATGATTCAGGTTAGAATCACTAACATTTCTACAGATGAGTAATAATAGTATTAGTATTTTTCACTAGTTCAAAAAATGTGTCTTGAGTGCATAGGGATTAAAGTTCAATCCACATAGTCATTTACAGATGCCTCACTTCCATGAAGTGCATTGTTCAGAATAGTAGATAATACCATATTGTATAGAGTATGCATAGTCTTGTAAGAAACTGACAACCTGTCTTCTGAAGTGACTATAGCATTTCACATTTCCATCAAAAATGAAAATTCTTGTTGCTCAATATTTGGTCGTGTTAGTGTTCCACATTCTGGCCATTCTAACAGTTGTATAGTGGTATATTGTATAGTGGTATATTTTAATTCGCATTTACACTTATTTGCCACTTGTATATCTTCTTTGGTGAGGTGTCTGTTAAGGTCTTTGAACTTTCTTTAATGAAGTCGAGATTACCCATTATTTTTTTTAATGGATCGTAATTTTGATGTTGTATCTAAAAAGTCATCACCATATCCAAGACCATCTAGGTTTTTCCTATGTAATCTAAGAGTTTTATATTTTTGTATTCTACTCTGAGGTCTGTGATCCATTTTAAGTTAATTTTGTGAAGGGTGTAAGAGGTGTGTCTAAATTCATTTTTTTTGCATATAGATATCCAGTTGTTCCAACATCATTTGTTAAAAAGACTATCTTTGCTCCACTGTATTGCCTTTGTTCTTTTTGCCAAAGATTGTTATTCAGTCACTAAGTCAAGTCTAAGTCTCTGCGACCCCATGGACTGCAGCACATCAGGCTTCCTTGTCCTTCACTACCTCCTGGACTTTGCTCAAATTCATGTCCATTGAGTCAGTGATGCTATCTAACCATCTCACCTTCTGTCAAAGATTAGCTGATTTTAACTCTGTGGGTCTATTTCATCTGTCTGTTCTTTCCGTAACATCACAGTCTGTAAAGCTTTTTATTTATTTTCGGCTGTGCAGGATCTTTGTTGCTAGGCGGGCTCTTCTCCAGCTGTGGCCAGCAGGGGCCGCTCTCCAGTTGTTGTGCACAGACTTCTCTTGCAGCGGCTTCTCTTGTTGAGGAGCACGGGCTCTAGGGCCCAAGGGCTTCAGTAGTTGTGGCTCCCAGGTTCTAGATCACAGACTCAATAGTTGTGGTACACGAGTTTAGTTGCTCCACAGCATGTGAGCTTATCCCAGAACCAGGGATCGAACCCGTGTCTCCTGTACTGGCAGGTGGATGCTTTACCACTGAGCTCCCAGGGAAGGCCAATAGCACACTTTCTTGATTATAATACCTTGAAGTCAGATAGTGTCAGTCCTCCAACTCTGTCCTTCTCTAACACTGTGCTGCTTATTCTCAGGTTTTTTGCGTTTTCATGTAAGTTTTAGAATCACTTTTTCAATATCCACAAAATAACTTGCAGGAATTTTGGTTGAGATTACATGGACTCTATATTTCAAACCGGGAAGACCTGACATACGGACACCATTGAATCTTCCTATCGACAACCATGGAATATTTCTCCACTTATTTAATTCTTTGATTTCTTCCACCAAAGTGTTATAG